GAGGGAACGGGGAAGTGGCTTATTGGTCCCCCTGGAACCACTAGGACCCCCGACTAAAGACGTCTTTCTTTGCTTCAGCTGTTTGGTGGAGGGGACCCGACGGAACCAAATGTACACATCCCATCATTTATTGCTATTATTCAAGTTTCAGGGGAATTTTGGTCCAACTGTCGTTTTCTTTTTGTCCATCTTAATGAGACGCGGCCGGAGCGAGATTCCCTGAAAACTGAAGGAGTAATGATCGGCGAGATATTCCACAAGGACTTCAGGGAATGACGTGGGATAAGATTTAAGTAAGAGACAGTTTGCTTTTGTCTGCAGGAGCTGAGGGACTGCCATGTCCTTCGGAAGTTTAAATTAAGGCTAGAAAGTTACATATGTGTTCTAATTAAGGATGAGAGTAAGACTTCCGCACACAAAAAACCTTCTACGTTTTACATAGTATAAAAAGAAAATTCTCCACTCACTTAAAAATTAAGTTGCTGTATAACAAAGGTGACAGCAATATAACCGAGATACATGAGAATAATACCTAAACGTTCGCCCATGCCTGTGTATGCTATTGCAATTTTGCTTAAATTGTGTGGTGCATTATTGCCACTTTTTCTGCAAAAATGTTTGTAAAAATGGCATTTACCGGTATTTTGCACAATGCAACAAAGATTAATTAATTAAGCAATTTTTTAATATTTTGTTTTTATTTTGAGGGGGGGGGGGGGATTGGGGGTGCAAGTGATCATTGTTGACAAATCTTATTCTTATGTGAAAACACTGGTTTCTATACATAACGCTTTTGACTAAATTTGTGTTCGAATGATCCAAAACAATGAAGTATGAATGGTTAACAGTGGGATAATAAATGTTGGAAATCTATAACGTGAAATCGAAAAGTGGTCTCTTTGCATGCAGCAGCGTTAGGTGGGGCTTGTGCCCCCCCCCTTCCCTCCCCACAAATTCCCAGTGCTCTCCCATGTGCCCCCCCCCCCCCCACCAAAAATCTGAAATTTACCGCTTGTCAAGGGAGTGTCTTTTTAAAGTATTTGTTTGAGTTGATTATATTTGCCTTCCCTTATGGCCGTACGACCTTATGAATTTTTTTCAAATTTGCAGCACTTGCGGTGACCGGTGGCCTGAAAATTTGGGGGAAATGTTGTTGTTGGTTCCGCCCTGGTGGCCCCTCATAATATACTGGTGTCCCACCCCCCCCCCCCCCCCCCCCCCCCCCCACTGAAAAAAAAACTGGCTACGCCACTGGCTAGGTGGCGCACTGTATCATCGTTTGCTCCATTACAGTTTTGTAAAATGAACCGAAGCGTGAATTAAGTCAGCAATGACTGGCCATAAAATGAACAGGAAGGGCCAAGTCTGCAGACGTGTCACTTGCCATTTACCAACCCACCCCATCACCCGAGAACCACAGGTTCTCAGAGAGCGTTCTAATCCCCATCAAAATTAAGCAATTAAGATACCCTCCCCGGACCGATCCTCCCAATCCCTAAACCCAGGCAGAGCGCTCCCGTCCTGCAGAGAGTGCTCTTGGTAATTAAAAATCCAGAGGAAATCTGCATCCCGAAATCCCAAATCTTCCTGGCCAGTTTGTGCGAGTGACAAATTTCCTCGTGCTAAAAGCATCTCAGGGTTCATATCTCCGCTGGTCTTAAGCGGTGATTAGCTGCCAGGCAAAAATAATGCAATTAAGTCGTTCGGTAAATTACATTAAATGCCTCTCCTTCTGATAACAAAAAAAAGGAAAGCCATATGGTAGAACAATAACAGAAAGGAAAAGTGAAGGCAAATGAGGAAGGAATTGGACAGCGGTGAATTTATGGACCGAAATGAAATTAAGCATTAGTGGCAGAGCAAGTATAAATCTTTCCTATTTCGAGGACAATTGCAAAGAGAATGGAATTTGGCTCTTGGTTGTCCCTAAAAATGATCGGGGTTGTTATTTAATAGCAGTTATTCTGATCACCTCGGATGAAGTCATTATTGTTTTTCTCGATGTGCCGGTCACTAATAGCCGATACATACTGTACCGGTACATGCACATGTATGTGTCATGTTTTTATGTGACTTCACACTTAGTGATTCACTTACAAGTCATAACAGGGGTTGAACTCAAACCATACCGGGTAGGGCAAATCATGGATCACACATTGGCAAAATAGAATTTAAAGGGAATGTACAACATTTGCTTTTACTGCAATTTTCAGAAATACATGGATTTGGAGGATTAGTATATTATATAGCAAATATTGTTAAACTGACTTGCTTCATGTTTTGGGTTCGTCGATTTGTGAAAATCCAAGAAAACCAACCATATTCTTGTAGTCTGGCTCCCTGACCCCACTTAAGATGAAACGGAGCAATTTATAGACTTTGGGAAATTGTTAGGTCAGAGAATCAGTCTAGCAGGCTTGTACCCCTTCACAGGTGTGTAATCAATTGCAAAGAAAATGCGGAATAACTAAATATGAAAAACTACGGTAGGAGCACTTTTTAAAAAAAAGAAGACAGTTTTCTCCAACGATGGTCGGCCGACCAGTGCTGGAAAAATACAATTTTTCTTGAAAATGTCAGCACACCAGGAGCCACGATTTTACAGGATGCTTTGGACTGTCAGGGCCTAACAACCCAGTAAGATATTTCGTGATAATTTGATCATTTCGTTTTTTGATGTTTGCAAATGTTGTATCTTCCCTTTTTGAGGTACCAATATACCGGTACAACATTTGCAGACATCAAAAAACAAACTAACAAATTATTATGAAATGACCTACTTGGCAGTAAGTGAATAATATAGTCTCAAGCTTCCTGTGAAATCATGTCACCCGGGTGTAGTGTCATTTTCGAGAAAAGTCAAATTTTTGTATCCATTTCCAACGATGGTTGGCCAACCATTGTTGGAAAAAAACTGACTTTTTTTTCAAATACTGCCCCCAATTTACCAAATTAAGGCTGCATCCGAATCAGCTGTCTTGAGCTACTGGTAGGTCTAGGTCTGCGCCCATTGAAAAAATGTGGGGGCGCGCTGACAATAAACCTAGCCGTAGCTCTGGAAGCCCGTTTGGGACACGGCCTTAGTTAGTTACACATCCCTGAACGGGTGCAAGCCAGCTAGTCTGGTTCCCTGACCTGACAATTCCCCAACATCTATAAATTGCTCTGTTTATGTCTGAAGAAGGGTCAGGGAACTCGACTACAAGAACAACATTTTTTTCTTGGTTTTGCCAGCATACATGTACATTTGTATGAACACAAAACTTTAAACAGGTCACTTGTAACAATATTTGCTATAACATACTAACCCCTAAATCAATCCATATTTGAAAATTACAGCAAAAGCAAATGTTGTAAATCACCTTCAACAATATTCTTATATTACAATATATTCTTTTAATACTAGAAGCACTTTCCTACAAATGAAGCAAGTATTGAAACAGCAAATAGCAATCATCTATAACAAATTATCCCCCCCTTTTTTAAATTTTAATTTTGCTCAACATCTGGCCTTGAATGGAAGAACTACCTGTTTGGCTTCTAATACAACATATGAAAAACATTCTGAAAATGTAATCTTGTATTTAATACAAACGATATCATGGCAATGATCGTTCTCGGCAAGTACCAAGGCATTTAGTAAGAATACGATTTTAAATCGAAAACACTATTTTTATACGGTCCTTGTTTTAAAGTTGTTAAGTTTTTGAACGTGTTAAATGTACAAGTCTTTTTCCCCATAGAGCTCTGCCGTATATATATTTGCATGATCTACGTGAACAGAAAATCAAGTTCTCAATTTCTGTGGTTATACTGAATGATTTCAGATCGCGAGGCTTTTTAGCTTGAGCATCACAAACACAAAACTGAAATTGTAACAATTTCCTCTTCTTTTTTTTACTTCAGAACTACATACTGTGTATTTGGTTCCTGTCATTTATTTCTGGGGGTGTGATGCATCTCAACAACAGAAACTGCATGTTTTCGTTCAAAATTACAAATTTTTGGGTAGTTGTCAAAACATGAAATAGCTGATGGGTAATATGCACGTAGGTCCTGTCATGTGGACATAAATCCACCGCAAATGTATGCAGTAGTGAATGTTTTGACAACAAAATGTAACACAAATGCACAAAAATCGATACGGGATAATGTTACCATGACAATAGGGGTTGCACATAACTATGCCACGTAAGAGTTTGCATCAATGTGGCCTGTCTCCAAGGGTTACTGAAGCAGGCAATTTAGAAGAATTAAAGCGCATCCTTGGACATTAATAAGACGGAGCAAATTGGAGACTGCAATATGGCTTCATCTTTCTTATTTGGAAATATTTGGGACATTTAGGGTATTTTAATATTTATATTGGCCAAAATGTGCGTGCCGAGACTTTTTTTGAATGAAGATTTTTTTGGAGGCTTTTCGGAGTCTCCCTAACCATCTTTGAGAAAAGTGCGAAAATTCACCTGTCACATCTGAAAGGGAATATATACAACATTTGCAAACATCAACAAACAAAACTACCAAATTATTATGAAACACCTTACTGAACTGTAAGTGAATGACTGTCTAAAGCACCCTGTAAAATCATGGCACCTGGTGTACTGTCATTTACAAGAAATGTGGTATTGGTATCAATTTCCATCGCTGGTCGGCCAACCAGGGTTGGAAAAAAAATGGCTTTTTTTCCAAATACTGCCCCAAATTTACCATATTAAGTTAGTCCGCATTTTGTTGATAATCGATTTCACACCTGTGAATGGGTAAAAACCAGACTGACCTACAACATGTACAAATCTATCTTTTTCTGAAAATTACAGCAAAAGCAAACGTTGTGTATTTCCTTTAAGTCAATGCCTGCAGGGGAGTAATATGAATTCGATCCCAGAAAACAGAATTTCTTTCTTTCTTATTTAAATAAACAAGACAGGAAGAAAAAAAAATTGACCAAAATCTTATCTAAAGAAAACCTGATTGCAGTCAAAGAAGCAAAAGCTTACCTGTTCCCGATCTTGAAGCCATTGCGTTTCTGCCTCCAGTTTTGAGGACACTAACCGCATAATCTGGAAGGAAATATATTGAGGACATTTTAAAGGTAAAGTTTATCATTTGCAGCTATCCAAAAAGTAACTGACAAAATAATTGTTGTAAAGCAACTTGGTTTTATGGTAGAAATGGCACTAAACTCCCTTTGAACTGATTCCTTCTGGCATGCTGTCATTTTGAAGAAAACAATAAAAAGAAGGTCATTTCCAAAGATGCGTCTACAGATGCATTTTTGGAAATTTCCATAGTTCGTTTTTAAAGGGAAAATACAACATTTGCAAACATCGAAAAATAAAACTACTAAGTTTTTACAAAATACCTTACTAGGATGTTGGCAAATGACAGTCTAAAGCATCCTGTAAAATTATGGAACCTGATGTGAAGTCATTTTCAAGAAAATGGTATTTTTGTATACATTTCCAACGGTGGTCGGCCGACCACCGTTGGAAAAACCCAACTATTTTCAACTACTGCTCCAAATTTACAATTTTTTTCAGTCCAAGTTTTGGTTGCTATTGGTTACATGTTCATGAACGGGTGCAGGCCAGCTAGACTGGTTCCCTTACCTTACAATTTTCCGCCATCAATACATTGATCCATTTCATCCTTAGTGGAGTCAGGGAACCAGACTACTTGAACATTTTTGTTTTTCTTGGTTTTTCCAGCATTTTCAAACACAAAACTTCAAACATGTCAGTGTAACAATATTTGATCTATTATATTAACCCCTCAAATAGTTCATTTCTGAAAATTACAGCAAAAGCCAATGATGTACATTCCCTTTAACTCGGCGAAGCAGTGAATGGCTGGGCGCAAGGGTTGACACGACACACACGCGCGCGGTTACTATAATTCAGTGCAGTTGATATAATTCAGTCGGTTCAGTGCGTAACACTGCATAGCTGCAATCGGCTGAATGAGAACTAGTACCGGACGCTGATTTCGGGCGCAAATAAAACCCCATGACTCAGCAATTTTTGAATTGAAATCGAGATCCAAGAATATTGTTTTCTTGGAATATACAGCATTCACAGAGCAAAAACTTCATCAGGTTAGTTGTTAAGCACCGTTCTTTAGATTTTGAGCACTTCTGTTGCTTAATCAAACAACAAAAATGCACAAATGACATATACTCTACCTTTAATGAGAATTATTGTTAAATAAAAATGGTCCACTTTTGTTAACCTCGCACTAGATAAATGTACATTTGTCACCTACCACTTGTTGATAAAATGGTAAACACTGAACTTGATTTACTTTATGAGGGGTTGGGGGAGCTACATGTAAGTTTGTATTCAAAGACCAAAAAACGTAGAATTTCAGATCACAAAAGATGAGAGAACAATGAGATTTCCATTCCTTTGCGACTGTCGGTTGGACCATGGTTGGACAAATCAAGAAATAGACCTACATGTACATGAACACTCAACTTTGCCACCAAATTCAAAGAAGTGTACATTTAGATTGTTGAATACATTTCAATTTTACAGTTTGTATGCATTTAACCAATTTCAAAGCCTTATTTCTTAAAGACAGTTTTGAAAATTACAATAAAAAAAACAATACAGCAGTAGTCCATGCGCAGTTTACGCAATGACAGATGGAAAACCCTTTTTTTTAATTCTGAAAACGGCAAAGTGAATATTTTAGGAACAAAAAAAAATTGCAGGGTTTGACCATGTGATTGTTTTAAATGGGCCACGGCAGATATGTCCGACTATTTCAGCAAGATCGTTGAGCGCTGTACAAATAAACACTCTTAAACTTGAGATCCACAATCAACCAAACCCGTCCCATGCATACATAGCGCATACATCAATTTGAGAAGATTTCCCCCACTCAGCGGTGAATCAAAAACAGATCTTACACTTGCAAGCTGGTGTTTGATGCTACACTTGACTGGAAGATTTGATAAATTCTCACAGCCCAATGGATGTATACATGATGCGGATCATGTAATCTCACTGTATTTCTAATGTATAAATGAATTTAAAGATCGTGTACTGACATTTACTGTATGCGGGACCAATGTAGAATGAGAGAAAAAAGGTTTGATATAAAAAAAGAACTGTAGATAGAGGGCGGCAGATAAAACACACAGAAGCCTCTTTTCTTTTTTATTTCTGGTTTGGCTGGGTTTGGCCTGTATTTCACATGCGAACTGCCAGGCAAAGCGCTGTCATTGATGTATCAGAGTTGTGGGAATGACAGGCCCAAAATTAAAAGGGATACTTCAATCAGGAAGCGGAGACAGCACTGACAGTTTTCTGACAGAGACAAAGACAATTTTGGCCAACTGAGTGATTAATCATAATTATATGCAAAACACGAAGAAAGCTATAAGTCACAGACTGGGGGGGGGGGGGGGAATCAAATGCAGCGATCTAGTGTCATTGCCCACATCGCAGCAGATGAGAAACTGTTCCAATGAGGTTTTTTTATTTGAAGTGGGGGTAAACTTGGTACGTAATTCGGAGGCACTGAAACCAGACGGTGAGGGTGGAGGGTATTTTCGTTGAACGAGGAAAAAGACAAACTGGGATACACAATTCATTTCCTACTTATTAATTAATTAATATTAGGGGGCCTAAGTGTTGCTTCTGTGTTCTTGTGAAAGTTTTTGCATTGTTTTGAGGGTTTCCAAACTAACATCTCAAACATGACGCCAAGAATTCATCAACATTTCCGTCGTAATCATAATATAACATGGAACCAAAGTGGTGTACATGCAGTCAAATAAAGAAGGTTTACTATTAATTTGACTAATTGTTTTTGTTAGGGATGCTTCTGGGTTTTATCTGAACACGTTTCTTTTTCGAGGGGGGGGGGTAACGACACCCACTAAGCAAGATTTTTGAGGTTTCTGAGGTCAGCTGATGATCCAGTTTAGGAATCCCACTCGGAAACTGGAAATGGGACAAAAACATTCGAACAGCTTCCCACTTTCCTCAGAAGCCCCCCCGGCCGGGCATCTCGATTCTTAATTCCGGTCCATTATTTCAGCACCCTTGATTCAATCACGGCAACATCATAAAGACCCATCAGAAATTGCAATCACGCGTCCTCAGCACAAGAAAAAAAAAGAAAGAGGCTACACTCAACACACACAACGAAAGTGTACCAAGCAAATCGTGCCGGTTGCTTAATTAAATGCAGGTACACGCTCCAGATATTGTCTTTCCTTCTTACAGTTCTTCCTTCTTCTTCTTTTTTTTCTTTTTTCATTTAGTCATCGAGAGAAACGTCGAGTAGTACTTCCCAGTACTCGCTGATTAGTGCCAGCGCAAGCTGGTGGCATGATCTAAGCTTGGTTAAGTGTTTGCTCAATAATGACCCAACCTGGGAGCGCATCCAGTAATATCGATCCCGGAGGTAGTACGACCAACCGTGGGGGAAAGGGAAAGGGTGAAGAGGGAACAAGAAAGTAAAAGTGTTTCATATACACCACAGCAATTAGGACAGGAAGAAGAAAACGAAGAAGAAGAAAAAAAAAAAAGGAATTACAAGTGCAGTTCGTGTACAGTACGTGGATGTGCGTAATCACTGCTTTGTTACTTCCGATGTGGGGGTTGTTTGTGAGCGAGCGTGTTCTTTTTGGTGCGTGTGTCGCAATTGTCTATTCCATATGGACCAGACAGTTTTCACAGTGATTGACAAGAAGTTGAGGGTAGTATCGGCATTTTTTGTTGACACTGCAATCATTTAGGATGCCTTGTTCATGAATAATGCACAGTGCCGGGGCTATGGCAGCCACAATCAAAAAGTAAAATGCTTTTTCCAAAAAAAAATACAAATACAAAATACAAAAATGACAGTTGAAATACCTTGCAGCCCTTTCCACATGTTTGTAAAGAAAATGGATCAATGTTTAAAGGTAGAGAACATGTACATCATTGGTCAATTTATGTCATTTGAAGCAACATAAGTGCTCACAATCTAAAATCCTTAACAACTAACCTGATGTAGTTTTAGCTACATCAGGTAAATATTCTGAGAAAACAATATTCTAGGATCTCAATTTCAATTCAAAAGTTGCCGTTTTGAATTGCGCCCGAAATCAGAGACAGGGACATGTTCTCATTCAGCCGATTGCAGCTACGCGAAGTCACGCACTGAACCTATGAATTGTAGCAACCGCGCTCACGTGTGCGTCGTGTCAATGCTTGCGCGTGCACCCTTTCATGGCGTCGCAGAATTAAAAGAAAACGAACTACTGACGGAAATTTCCCAAAAACGCGTCTTTAGACGCATCTTTGGAAATGAACTTCTTTCATTGTTTTCTTCAAAATGACAGCATACCAGAGAGAATAATTTCACAGGGAGTTAGTTGCCATTACTATATTTAAACCAAGTATGTTTTTCAACAATAATTTGTCAGTTACTTTTTGGATAGCAAATGATGTACTCTACCTTCGAGAAAAAATAATTGTCAGAATCAGAAAGCTCTTTCAAAAGAGTAGGGAGGAGGGGGAGGGGGAGGGTATGAATGTGAAGGGGGCCATGCATGGAGGGGATTGTCGGCGTGTGTATCACCATGTTTGTGCACGTCCGTGTTTGCGCACGGGCTCACGCGGCAGCTCCGCACGACCTACATTAAGAGGTGCTTGCTCATCTACTTTATCCTACACAGCCATTAGCCATTTCTAATTAAATTTCCTTCCTTGGTGCTAAATGTATTCCAAAGCTGAAGGTGGGGGGGGGGGGGGGGGACGCAGAGAGAGGAAGTCTGGGGGAAATTACTCTGGCTGAGTATATCTGGGCATCTATTCTACAACTTAATTGCTTGCAGATGTATTGTAATTCACAGCTCACTTGGGCTGGGGAGGTTGACCTCATTTGAGGACATGCCCCTGTAAACGGCTGATTGGTTTGGCAAAAGCAGACTCTAGAATTAGAAGAGAGAGAAGAAAAAAACTAATTCGGGAAACGTAGAGTCTATCTGCCCAATGTTGCCATCCAGGATGTTTTGCTGATTTGGAAAAAGAAAAAAAAATAATAATGTGTCTCATCTGGCAAA